TATCATTCCTTCATTCCAATCAGTAAGCCTGCGTCAGTTTTTCAGCGCCGTAAGCAACTACACTGACGTTATGATGGCTGATACCTCTATAAATAGATTATTGATGGTCAAGGACTCTGTCGTTATGGGATAGAAGTAGGACAGCAGTGACAGAAAGTGCGTGTGTTACTTCATGGTAAACACTTGGTACTTGAGTTAAATCCCCAGGGTTATACGCCAGCCCTCTATCCTTCAACAGAAGAAAATCATTAACGCCATTGTTTGGCTGTTACCATGGAGACCTCAAAGAAACGATTGTTGTGTTCTTCCTGGCGCTGAGTTTACGAAACACGTAACTTTGACCCTCCGTACGGTACTTCTTCAGAGACCGTTTAACTCATTGAAGACGAAAACTCTGGTCATTCGAACGTTTGAAGGCGAACGTCGTTATCCATACAGATTTTCCCAATGTATTTTCTTTTCTTTTTTTTAGCCTTAAACGGATTTTAGAAAACAACATAATATACTGTGAAATGTACAATCTTGTGTTTTTGGTTAGTGCATGTTGGTTCGTAATGAGCTTCAACATTGCCCTTGATCTTTTTCTGGTCGGACAAATGTGTCCTTTACGTGCCTAAAGAGTTAATCGACTTCCAGCAAAGGGCAACAAGAAAAAGCTGTGCGACCAGTCAGCCTCACGCACCCTCCAAGATTCTTCTTGGTCGATCGAACGCGCTGAGAAATCATCAACTTCGTTGCTCTTGTTTCGATTGAAGGAACCAGTGCTGGTATTCTTCTTTCGATTCCCTGCCACTCTACTTTTTAAATTGGCATAACATTTATAACAATACGACTTTTCACAGTCTCTGTAGAAAACGTTTCCGGACACAAGCAGGGCATTGCTGTTCTTTGTTGGGAGAAACGACGTTTGAACTTTAGCTTTTCCAAAACTTGCATCTTCGTGCAGCTACACACAAGTCGACGCAATTGTCAGCGAGACATTAATGGCTATGTCTGCAAACTTTCACTCATCTCAACGCTGAACACTACTTTTTTTTCTTAGAGTAGTCACTTTTTTTTTGGTAAATGTTTTACGACGCTCGCAGCCGCGTAAGGTCATATGAGCTCGCGGGATACACCAAACATTTTCAATTGGTAGGAAATTTTGAATTTTGCCCGGGTGGCGGCCGAAGCCTGCTCTTATCTATCTTAGACCACCAAGGGATCTTTAACGAGTTCAACATGCACACAGGCCCTCGGAGATTTTTCGCCCTTGTCCGAGGAGGCTAGGTGTAGATCTTTCCTACAAGAAGTTCAGGGGTGTTGCTGAAAGACAGAAGTAAGAAGGAGCCAAGGAGTAGCAGTATAAGGGCAGCAGAAAGAGTCAGGAGCCTAGAGGAGGGGAAAAAGGAGGTGAGGAGGTGGGGGCAGAAAGTGGAGGCGAAAGCAGACGACAGAACATGGTTAGAGAGCAGGAATGGGGGGGGGGGGGGGGGGGGGA